CCAGCTAATCTTTTATTTTTCCGTGGAGATGGGATCTGACCATGGTGCCTAGACTGATTTTGAACTCCTGGCCTCAAGCATTCCTCCTGCCTTGGCCTCCCAGGATTACAGGCCTGAGCCGCCACAGCTAGCCTTTCAAAGGAGGTTTTAATTTAGTGAGGACTAATGGGGGTAGAGTGGGGAGGGACATGGTCTCCAGAAGTAGGAAAGACATTGGGAATGACCAGAAGAGCATTGGCTGCTTGAGTGCGTCTGCACACACAGCCATGTTTTTAATGTCTCTGTGGTTCTTGTCAACAATAAAAATATTGTTATATTTTTAGTTCCTCTGTTATGATTTTGGCAAAAAGAATACGCCAGATTATGTGCGAACAGTTTCCAAATTGCAGCACAGCCCTGGCCATGAAGAAGTAAAGCCAAGTACAGTGCTTTTATTTGCTTCATCCTTCTGAACCCACTGGGCCTCATATGCTCAAAATGTTGTGGCATTTTCCATAAACATTAAGCAAGCTACTAATTATTGACATTAGACACAGCATTGCCCTGGCTTCACTAAGGCAATGAATCAGGCCACTTTGGTTTTTTTACAGCTATGGTTAGAATGTCTTAGCATCATATTTATGCCCCAAATCCTAAAGGCTTTAATTAAGACACAACTGCTCAAAGACTGGCATTGTAAATCATGTCCATGTCCAATGGGTAAATTCAAAGAATTACAGAGACTTCTACAGAATTTATGCTTATTTTCCTCTGCTTCCGAAACTCCTTTTTATTTTCAAAGGGAAAATGAGGGGAGGGAGAGAAAAGCTTGAGGGCATAACGAGTGGCTTGTAAAACAAGGCTACCACTAATTATGTGCTCGGGACATCATCAAATAAAGCTGGAAAAAAAATTGAAATATTTGAATCAGCTGCAAGAAAAAAAAAATCTATTATCTATATTACAGCCAAAATAGGTACATTCTCTGCAAAAGCCATTATGCAAATGATTCCCACACAAGTAACCTTGAGCCGGAGGCAGGGGAAGATATGGAAATCGGACCACTGGCGGAGTGGGGGCATTCTGGGAAGCAAGTAGACAGCCCTGGAGAATTTAGTACCTAAAACCAGGTTTGGACACTGTGAAAGGTCGTTCCTGGATCAGTTCACGAGATGGGAATGCAAACAGTAGCTTACATAAAAGTATTAGGTCAGTGTTAAATTTACTCACATTGATAACTGTACAGTTTTTCTGATCACATCCTTGTTTCAGTGGCCAGAGTAAGTGAGGAAAGAATGTGGGCAGTCCCAGGAGCGGGAAACACTAGAGGGTGGTTGTTTCAAAGAAGACAGCAAGACCGTGAAAGCACATAAACAAAACCTAGTTCTTAACACTCTAGAGAGGGGGCCACACTTCAGGGTATTGTCTCCTATTTATCCTAAAAAGGAAAACATGAGATCGTAATGTGGACAAAAGGTTTCATTTTTATATATTTAGTATTTCTTAACTGTGTGACAGCTGTGAGGGCTAAATTACTTCCATTTCGTATTTCAACTTGTGATGATTTAATGAGCTCTCTTTACATTTATTTGAAAATGAGCTTGTAGTTTAGCCCTTAATCACAGTGCTGGGTTTTTTTTTTAAGCAACCGCAACGACAACCACCCCTAAACTTCTGAAAATGCTGAGATCCTTCTCATGCCTTTCCTGTTCTTTAATTTCCCCACATATATTCCTCTGAAGGTGTAAACGTACGGTCAGCTAGTGTCAAGCGCTTAACATCTTTGTATATCATTTCTTTTACTCACTTCTTATCAATTTCTTTCCCAATAATCAGAATTTCAAAACCCCTCTAATGTTAAATATCAAATACTAATGACCTACTACTCAATTTTTAAATTCGTTTTCTGTTCCACTCCTTCCTATTCAGCCACCCCACGTCCCCCAGTCAGCAGCTGGGAAGGGTAGGGGCAGCAGTTCTTCCGTCCCTCCCGTGCACAGGTGGAGCAGGCGAGGATGCCGGGTCTGATTTTCACTGCCTTCCTCCCTCTCGTCTCAGGGGATCCAGGAGGCACATGTGTGTGAGCCAGTGTGAAAGACCTGGGGCCCTAGACCCCCACCTGACCTTTGCCAGAGTGAAACACAGGTGTCATTTTAAGGCTGAGAGTCTATGGATCAGGTCAGAGCCACACAGGCATATCTAAGTTGGGCTCTGTCAACAGCATGAGGTGTGTTTACTCAAGGGGGGAAAAGAAAAACGGTTTCCCCGTAAGGCTCTGTGTGGCTGGAATTGGGACAGCATCAGAAGCTCCGGCCTCCCTGGCTGAGCCCCGTAGAGTCTCCCGTGGCCTCCATTCTCTTTCTGTACATCTCTCTCCCGCCAGCGTCCTCTTCCCTGATGCCATGGCCTTGCCCAGGGGTTTGGCTGCCATGACCCCTTCTGCTTCTTACCAAACATTTTGGTTTCTTTACAGCTGCATTTGATGATATCCTGAGAAAATAATTAGTGCTAGCCCAGTTTTACAAGCAATCAGTTTCTGTTCCTTTCATGTTTTTTCTTTTTAAATGGACATTGGACTGAATAAAGTCAAATAGCAGAACTTGAGTGTATCTAAGGAACTGAGCTCAGTTACTGCAGCCAGCCACTCAGAGCTGCTCAACTGCCAATGAAGATTACCTGAGAGGGAGGTCACGTGTGCTGTAGGGAAGCCCCCTCTGCAGGGGTCCGTGAACATGGCATAGACTTGGCCCGCACAGACCACTCAGTTGGCATTTATGGCTGAGCGTGCCCACTCGGCCTGTCATCCTGACTCTGTGTCGGTAAGGAATAATGGAAGGTGATCCTGAAAGCAAACCCAGGAAGAGGCTCTTTCTGTGAGGCTGATGGTTCTTATCCTGTTTCCTTCATGTATTGCTGGCTCTTCCTGTCAGTGCCTTTGACGTTTGGCGGTCACAAATAAAGCAAAACATCTGCTCTCTAGAATCCTCGGGAAGCTCTTCTGCATAGGTGAGGTTTCCAAGGATCTTCAGAGTTACCCTTTGAATACTAAAGCTATTTTAAGTCATTCCCAATTTAGCCATTCTCAATTTAAAGTATATTAGGCATTTCCCTCTAGTTTTAAAGAAGATTCTTTTTTTTTTCTTTGTCACAGAGGGGAATGTGTTTTAAAGGCTGGAGTGCTGTCAGGGCTTCTCTGTAACTGACTGCAGACACCTGAAGGCAAACAGATAGAAATATGCAGCCTTGCTGTTTGCTGCTTTGTAATTAGGATGTTGGTTGAGACTTGTCCCTGCTGTCCCATACCTGCCTGTGTCTAATGTGTTGCTGCTGATAGACTGTAAAAATGGGAACCGCATCACTGTACTTGTTCATGTATTTTACATTAAACATTTGTTCCTTAACCAAATACATGTTCAGCTGAGCTTTGCTCTGGGGTTATTGAGAAGAATAAGATGCATTCCCTGCCCTCCTTACCTTCTAGGAGAGTAGCATGGATGGTGGGGTGGGCAGTGGGGAACTGGGCCGACCGGAGCACTGAAGGTCAGGAATACCCACACCAGACCAAAGGCGAGGAAGCATTGCTGCCCCTGCCTAGGAGCCATGCTCAGAGGAAAGGGGAATGGTGGGCCCTCAGGATGGCCTGGATTTCTTAGTTCATGAAGCATGTAGACTTTGCTGCATGTATGTGGGGACTTCGGTTTGGGTTGCACATGCCATTCCTGCATCCGTGCCTTGTTGTGTATAGTGAGAGTCTGTGAGCTGAGCTCCAGGTAGGAGCGTCTTACCTGAAACCAGTGGCCTTTTTTTTTTTTTTTTTTT